AAAAAAAAAAAAAAAAAAAAAAAAAAAAAAAAAGACCGTAACTTGCTCCCAGGAATGGGAGAAAATTTTAAAAAAGGAAGGTTGGAATCCACCAGTGTTCTATTAGCTTTTTCATTCTCCACTCCTTCCTCCCCTTCATTACCATCTTCAATCTTCTTCACCTTCATCCTCCTCCCCTTCTTCATTAATATCTTCTAATCCTAATATCTTCTTTTTTTTTTTTCTTTTTTTTCTGAGACGGAGTTTCGCTCTTGTTACCCAGGCTGGAGTGCAATGGCGCGATCTCGGCTCACCGCAACCTCCGCCTCCTGGGTTCAGGCAATTCTCCTGCCTCAGCCTCCTGAGTAGCTGGGATTACAGGCACGCACCACCACGCCCAGCTGATTTTTTGTATTTTTAGTAGAGACGGGGTTTCACCATGTTGACCAGGATGGTCTCGATCTCTTGACCTCGTGATCCACCCGCCTCGGCCTCCCAAAGTGCTGGGATTACAGGCGTGAGCCACCGCGCCCGGCCCCTAATATCTTCTAATCCTTCCTCCTCTTCATCATGATCATCATCATCTTCTCCTTCTCCTTCATCATCCATATCAGGAACCAAGTAGTATTGTAATGGGTTTGGCCAAATATCACCTTTGATGGGCTCTCCTAATTCATCAGCACATGCATCAGAATGGTCAGTAAACCAGGTAAAGAAGCTCTCTGGTTCCTCATGCTGCCTCTTCCTGTTAGCTTTATTGTGTGTTTGACTTGAACGTTTCGTCAAATCCTTTCCAGATTTCCATTTGATTTCGGTGGACTTTGAAGATGGATCACCACTCTCATTCAGATGAAAGTCTTTGGAGAGAACTTTATTTTTAAAGTAAGGATTTTCGCCGGGCATGGTGGCTCACGCCTGTAATCCCAGCACTTTGGGAGCCCGAGGCGGGTGGATCACGAGGTCAAGAGATCGAGACCATCCTGGTTAACACGGTGAAACCCCGTCTCTACTAAAAATACAAAAAAAATTAGCTGGGCATGGTGGCACGTGCCTGTAATCCCAGCTACTCAGGAGGCTGAGGCAGGAGAATTGCCTGAACCCGGGAGGCGGAGGTTGCGGTCAGCCGGGATCGCGCCATTGCACTCCAGACTGGGTAACAAGAGTGAAACTCCGTCTCAAAAAAAAAAAAAAGCAAATAAAAATAAAGATTTTCATCAAAATAAAAATCTATTCTGTAACCTGATTTAATATCTTCAAATTCTGTCACTTCAACTCTGGTCAAATAATGCAGTGCCTCTTCGTCCTCCTCCCCAAGCAGTGCAGACACTTGTGGATGGTTGACGAATGTTACCCAAAAATGTGAGATTTTGGCAATCAATTCTGACCTCTTCTGAAAAAATGGTTGGCGGAGTTTGTTATATTTCTGTTCTACCTTCAAAATCTCCTCACTGGCTTGTTCATTAAGTCTGTCTATTTCATTTTGTATTTCATCAATGTGTTCAATTGCTTCTTGCTGTTCTTTTTCTCCCTAGGCCGATGTCTCCTCCAGTCTCTGAGCAGGAGGTGGTCTTGGTTTCTTCTTTCGAGGCGGGAGTGGAGACTGGCGTTTGGAGGCCATGCTGCTGGGGAAGTCCGAGAACCGGAGCACAAGTCTTCTTGCTCGTCCAGAAGCAGGCAGAACACTGGTATGATTATATATATAAGCTAGATATAAGTAAGCAGTGAGTTATACTTCAGGCACTAATTGTGCCTGGGGTCTGCACAGTTCTTCCTCCGTGCCGCTGGAGGGGTGTTACTCACAGCTGCTCAAGAAATGGTAGCAGCTTTCCCCATTAAGAAACTTGGAAGGGGGCTGGGTATGATGGCTAGCGCCTACCATCCCAGCACTTTGGGAGGCCGAGGCGGGCGAATCACCTGAGGTCAGGAGTTCAAGACCAGCCTGGCCAACATGGCAAAACCCTGTGTCTACTAAAAATACAAAAAAAGGCGGGCGCAGTGGCATGCACCTGTAGTCCCAGCTATTCAGGAGGCTGAAGCGGAAGAATCGCTGGAACCCAGCGTGAGGCTCCGTCTCAAAAAAGAAAAGAAAAAAGAAAAGATGTTTTGGAAAGGAGTGCCGCCTGCTTACTGACAACCATTGCTGGGCACGGTAGAGATCCCAGCAGCAACATAATTGGGCCGGCGGGGGACTGCAGTTTCCCGGTTCCCCAAGCCGCTGGGAAGGTCGGTGATGCACAATCCCCTTGCCCTTCGGCCTTGCAGGTTACTTCGGTTGCTAAGCAACAGGGACTTCCGGGAAGGCCCGGAAGTGGCCCGAGGCAGTCCTGCACCGGAAGCTGAGCGGTGGGCGGGGCGGAGGGGCGGAGGTGGGGGCGCCTGCCTTAAGTCATTTTAAAGGCTAGTGAATAGAATTAAGCATTGGTTTCTGTCAGACAAATAATTTCATTGCACATTTAAGGCCTCCAAAGATAATATCCTTTATTCTGCTAATTTCCTAGGCGGTCACAGATTCCCCTCCTATTGTTTGATTACAAATTCTACTAGCAAATAACACCTGCTGCAGCGGAACTGCTTAGCATCCTTTACTAATAGGATTATAGCACATATTTGTGGAGCTGCCGTATAGACCAGGCACCACGCTAAGCACTTCGCATTGATAATCCTATTTCTTCCGCTGTGATATAGACAGGGTTCCACTGTGTGGCCTGATGCAGGCGGCCACAACTCTGCCGACCTGGAAGAACTCAGCCCTGACACTTTCGTCTTTAGGTGGTTGCTTAGCAGTCCCCAGTGACTTTCTCTAAGCACCCCAAAGCAAGCTTTTCTCCTAAAGTAATTGAACTCCTTTTTTGTATTACAGGCACGTGCCACGACAGAGGGTTTTTCTTTTTCCCCAGGCCGGAGTGCAATGGCGCGATCTCGGCTCACCGCAACCTCCGCCTCCTGGGTTCAGGCAATTCTCCTGCCTCAGCCTCCTGAGTAGCTGGGATTACAGGCACGCGCCACCATGCCCAGCTACTTTTTTGTATTTTTAGTAGAGACGAGGTTTCACCATGTTGACCAGGATGGTCTCAATCTCTTGACCTCGCGATCCACCCGCCTCGGCCTCCCAAAGTGCTGGGATTACAGGCTTGAGCCACCGCGCCCGGCCTCCTTTTTTTTTTTTAATGTGTTGCAAATATTTTCTTCCATATCTGTCATTTGTGTTTTAACCTTGATGTTTTCCATCACACAGAAACTTTCAACATTTTTTGGTTGCAAAATTTGCTTATCTTTTCCCTTGTATCTTTTTTTCTTTTTTTTTTTTTTTTTTGAGACAGAGTTTCGCTCTTGTTACTCAGGCTGGAGTGCAATGGCGCAACCTCCGCCTCCTGGGTTCAGGCAATTCTCCTGCCTCAGCCTCCTGAGTAGCTGGGATTACAGGCACGTGCCACCACGCCCAGCTAATGTTTTGTATTTTTAGTAGAGACGGGGTTTCACCATGTTGACCAGGATGGTCTTGATCTCTTGACCTCGTGATCCACCCACCTCGGCCTCCCAAAGTGCTGGGATTACAGGCTTGAGCCACCGCACCCAGCCTTCTCTTGTATCTTTTAAGTCTCATGTTAAAGTTTAGAAAAGACCATCCCACACCAGAGGTATAAGTGTTTTTTTGAGTAATTTTGTAGTGTACTTCCCCTCTGGAACTAATTTGTAGGGACGCTGTGAGGTAGAGATTTAACATACTTTGTTTTTTTGTTTGTTTGTTTTTTGAGATGGAGTCTTGCTCGGTCACCCAGGCTCGAGCGCAGTGGCGCGATCTAAGCTCACTGCAACCTCTGCCTTTCAGGTTCATGCGATTCTCCTGCCTTAGCCTCCAGAGTAGCTGGGACTGCAAGCATATACCACCATGCCCAGCTAATTTTTGTATTTTTCTTTGACACAGGGCTTCACCATGTTGGCCAGGCTGCTCTCAAACTCCTGACCTCAGGTGATCCACCTGCCTTGGCCTCCCAAAGTGCTAGGATTACAGGCGTGAGCCACTGTGCCCAGCAGAGAACTAACTTTGATAGCTAGTGCTCTCAAAGTAGTTTATTAAATAATCCATCCTTTTCCCCACTTAAAACATCCCTCCTACCATATACTAAATCCCTGTAGCCCTGGGTCTGTTTCTGGAGTCTCCTGTCTGTCTGACCCCCTCCAGGTCACACTGCGTGAGGTAATGGTGGCGCGAGAGTCCTCTGGGAATCTGGCAGGAGTGTCTTTTCCCCCTCAGCAGTCCACCCCCCAACTTATCATCATCGTTCAGAGTGGTCTTAGTGTTCTCACACATTCACTCTCCCAAATGCACTTTACAACTGTCCAATTCCAAAGTATCAATCTCACTGGAATTACACAATTTATCAGCTGATTTGGGGAAAACCAGTATGTTGAGAGGAACGTGATGTATGTCATTGCGTCGACTTACAGCATGCTCTGAACAAGTCTTCAGTTGATTCTCTTAGATTTTACAGGTAGGCAGTTTTATTGTCTACAAATAACGATATTAGAATTATTCCTTATCTTCCTCATCTGCCTTGTTGTAGGAGTTAGTAGTGCTGAGACATTGCTGACAAATAGCATGCCCTTCGCTAGTTTCTGACTTTAATGGGGATGCCTGCGGCATTTGACCCTTTAGAATGCCAGTAACTGTTGGTTTCTGACACAGACCTTTACCTAGGTTAGGATGTTTCTTTCCAGAGTCAATTTACTAAGAGTTTTAATAAGGGATGGATTTGAAATCTTACCAAATATCTTTTCAGCATCTATAGAGCTATCGCAGATTTTTCCTCATGAACTGAAGCTGAAACGAAGACTCCTGCACAGCCATACTGCCTCCTCACTTACTCTACATGCCCCTAGTCCCCTGTGCCAGGAACTGAATCCCTCTGCAGAGGGATAGACCAAAGGTGAAGCGTCAAGGCCTGCCTGCCAGGCATGGTGCTGAATGCCTTCTCAAGCTGCCCAAGCACATGGGCTCTTGGAGGCTTTCCTTTCCAGAGAAAGAAAGTAGGAATCCCCACTGCCTGCCAGAACAAAAGCTCTTGGGGACAGCGGCGTACACAGCATGGAAGCCAAAAGGATTTAGGCAGGGCAGAGGACCCCATGCCCCTGCCACCATCCCACAAATCAATACACAGGCCACGTGCCCAGTTTGCCAGGGGTCTTGCTGCCTGAAGTGACCTATGACCTCCAGCAAATCCTTCCTGCCACTCTGCAGCCTCTTAGCCAGGGCGTGCAGGACAGGCGGCACTTAGAGCAAAGCCATCACAAAAAGCAGTGAGGCCTTCGGACTCTCAGGAGACACTGTGATTCCTTCTGCTGCTCCACCCCACTGCTAACTCTGGGTCCCCATCCCTCTCCTTCCAGAGTCCCTCTGACCCTGCTTATCACACCAGGACATGGAGTCTCTAAATAACCATAGGATTCCCCTAGAGCCGGCTGTTGCCCACAGTGACGCTGATGCTGGGCTGTTACCCACATAGCCACCCTTACCTCTTCTGTCTGCTTCCACTTCTCCTATATCCCCTTTTGGAAAAAGGATAATGTGTCTGAGCCTGTGCCCAGCTCGGTGTCCACTCACAACCCAAAGCAGAGCCTGGCACTGCCCACTCTGCCCAAGGGCTTTCTCTCCCTGATCTCACTGGCATCTGCCCTATTTACCCATCACTGGGTTTGTGGGTTGCCCCTGAAACACAGCAGCAGCAATAAACAGAAAATGAGGGCAGAGCCCAGTCTGTCACAGTTGTGGGAGGCAGATCAGGACGGGATGCCCATGTGGCTTGTCCAACGATCTTCATGTTAAGAGGCAGTCAGTCCCTGTGAATGAACTTTCTCTTCAGGCCACAGGCAGCCCTAACCCAAGCGGAGGCGAAAGGTAGCGATCTCCATGGGCTCCAAATAGACGTCAGTACTGTTAGATGGGGAGGCCAGAGGGTACAGTAACGTCAAGGAGGTTGGCTGCAGGAATAGCACGTCCAGGCCACGGAAAAGGCTCCCCAGGGCTACCTGTGGAGAAGAGAGAAGGTGCAGGATTGTGCTGGCTGTTCCAATTTGTTACCTCTTTAAGAATCTCAGCTAGGTGTGGTGGCTCACACCTGTCATCCCAGCACTTTGGGAGGCCAAGACTGGCGATCACCTGAGGTCAGGCGTTTGGAGACCAGCCTGGCCAACATGGAGAAGCCCCATCTCTACTAAAAATACAAAAATTAGCTGGGCATGGTGACAGGCGCCTGCAACCCCAGCTACTCGGGAGGCTGAGGCAGGTGGATTACTTGAACCAGGAGGTGGGGGTTGCAGTGAGCCGAGATGGCGCCACCGCACTCCAGCTCTGGCCCCTCTCAGCAACACCATGCCGTCTTACATATGAGCGTACATCCAGTCTCACAGGCTTGCTAAGATCTGCTCACCCCTAAAGCCTGCCTACAGATCTCAGGGTAGGAACCATTCCACCGAGCTGTGAGATCTGTGAGAACAGTGACCATATCTTGGTTCACTTCTGAAACCCTGGAGCCTAGCAGAGGACCTGGCACCCGGGGGGCATTTTCCCCGTGCCAGCTGACATGAGCTTAAAAAGCAACAACAGAACGGGTTCTGGTTTTCTATTTCTGGTGTTTTCCACTTTGCTTGCTAGAGGTCCCTGCTCAGGGAACAAAGGTTCTCAAGCCACCTGCCTTGTCTGGGACTTCACCAGGCCTCAGGA